GAGGAGGGCTCGTGCATGGATGGATGAAGCACGAGGTAGGAGTATTGGTGCTGTCGTCCGTCTCAAAAGGAACAAAGCAGCATCGCTCCATCGATTACGCAAATACGGTAAGCCCATGGATAGTATATGCATTGTGCCACTACTATTGGTACACTACTACGCATCGAGTGAAACATAAACTTTTACACAGAACTGCACACACGGCCTCCACCTTACTTTGTTCTAAGTTCAAACAATGCATTCAAACAAAACATCTGACCGATGTTTTTGCATGCCGTCGCTGACTCCGACAATGAGTTCTTGATCGAGGCTCCAGCTGCCCTGCACTGCACTGCACGGCGTCCTAATAACAGCGGCAGTTCTCCGCTAATGATTCTTGCCTCAGTTAACTCTGATGATGTGTGAATTCAAGGAAAAAAAAACTCTGACAAGTGTCGCAAATATCGTACTCCTCCAATGCATATTACTCCTCGTTCCCGGTGACCAGTGAATATATCTTTTTTTTATAGAACACCAGTGAATATATCTGGATAGGAAGAAACAATCCATTACCATCCATGCTGCATGATCTCCTCCATGTGGGGGTGGGGGTGGTCCAGCGGGGACTGATGAAGTGGGTCAGTCACTGTGCACTCAGATGCATGTGGCGTCGCCCATGTCAATTATGCCCTGGGTCGACATATGCATGCATCACTCTCATCGATCGCTTGCACGCCACCTTGCTAGTTTGTATCTCTCTTCCTTGGCCAGATGTTTCTTTTTCCTCCTGGTCAAATCCCTGTTAGTCTTCTGTTCTGTTCTCTTCTTCAGGCGAGCGTATATGTCGGTCCTTAGAACATCTACAGCTGCATATGACAAATATGAACCTTCAAACGTCCGCGGACATAGCCGGGCGCTTTCGCGGACTCAGTCCTCGAATTTGCTCAACTCCATGCGGACAGCTCATACTAGAATTTTTAAATCCATACAAAAGCATGTAAAGAAAAAAAATCCATACAAAAGGTTGTATCGAGTGAAGCATAAACTTCTACACTGCGCTGCACACATGACACTGTTTAAGTTCAAACCATGCATCCATGTCGCCATCGGCATGCAGGCTGATGTTTTTGCATGCCGTCCCTGACTCCAATATCACTATCTTGGTCGACGCGCTGCCTGCACAATCGGTTTTCTCCGCTAATATCCAGCGACCAGCGACCAGTGATTACCTTGATCAACTCTGACCATGTAGTTAGAATATCCAGCGACCAGTGAGAGTGCCACGTGGATATATTGTCGAGAAAAAAACGACCCATCACCAGTGATGCTGCATGAACTCCATGTGCGAGTGGTCCGGCTGTGATGGATCATGGTCATGGAGGGAGGAATGGGGATGATGCATTCAGTCGATCAATGCAATCACTCACACGCACGTGCCTGCATGTCGTGCTTCAACCGCAATCAGGCTAGCCTTGGTCGGCATGCATGCAGGCATCACTCGCATTGGTCACTTCACGCTACTGGAGAAACTATCTACGTGGAATGCTTTGAGCTATGCCGAGAGCCAAATCTGGGGCTCTCGGAAAATACGCGGTACCGGTACACCGAGTGCCACACTCGGCCAAAGACAGGACCACTGGTTAATTGCCGAGAGATGGGTATATAGAAGGACCTCGGCAAACATAAAAACTCGGCAACCGTGTCATATGCCGAGAACTAGACAGTAAGCAGACTGCAATGAGGTGCCACGAGGCAAGTCCGCCAGTGGTTGACGTCTCCTTGACGGTGGGTACCCTGTGCCTGTACTGTGGTACTTGGCAAAGTGTGGTTTCATAGCAAAATTCAAGCATTACCTAGATCTCAGATATCAAGAATATACCAGAATAACATTACATGCTTTTTGGTATCGCTCAAGTGGTAGATCTCAGATTAATATTCACATCCATTTAGTTTATTCAGTTGAGTCTTGCTGATAAAGAAGGTTTATTTGTAACTCGTGTTCGGACTTTTAAGCGGAGGGCTCATCGCCCGGCTATGAAGGTATAATTAACTTCAGGATGTGATGGGTCATTTGCAATGACATGCCACACCAATGCGACATGCCATTGGAAAGGACATATCCATTAAATAAATTATATAATTTAATGTCCCAAGAGCTCTCTAGCGGTGCTGGCGAGGGCGAGTCCTGGGCGGTGGCTCTGACGGGCTCGCCCGCCTCTTGCTCCTCGGTGCGTATTGCTGAGCTGCCCGACGACGCGCCCGTCGACGTGCCCTGCATGGTTGTGCATGGGGGTGCCCCCGCGTCTACAGCCTCCGCTGTCTTGGCCACTAAAAGCAGCGGGGTGTGGTGTCGTAGCGCGCGCCTGGCCCGCGCTGATACGGGCGATTTCGTCCTGATCGTTGACAAGGCGGCTAAACGCCGCGCTCTCAAGGACGCCCTGATCGGGTGCTCGCCCCGTCTCCAGGCCAAGGCTGCTCGTGACCGTGTGATCGACGCGGTGGTGCAGCCGGTGTCTTCTGCTTCCGTGGTGGGGCTGCGGGCTGCGGCGGCTCTCAAGGCTTCCTCGGTGCCAGCTCGTCTTCATGATTAGTGTCCACGTCCTATGTGTGCTGGCTGGTGTTGTTAGAACCCAGCTCCTGCCTCGTCTTCCTTCCATTCCCGCCAGTTTGGGTGGCTTTGTATCTTCTTTCGGTTGGGGTGTGTGCGTTTGTATCTCTGCTCGGGTGCCCGCTTGTGTCCATGGTTAGTCGTGTTCAAAGCTTGTCGTTTCTATTATGGAATGTGCAAGGTCTCGGAGATGCGGATAAGTGTGACCTTGTCCGCGATTCCATCTCCTCCGCGGCTCCACCGGTGGCATGTATTCAAGAGTCCAAACTCGCGTCTCTCGATGTGCACAAAGCTCGCTCCTTCCTTCTCGTTTCCCTCTCTGAGTTTGTCTCTAAGGACGCCGACGGGACGGGTGGTGGGGTGGTCACTGCTTGGGACCCTCGTCTCCTTACGTTGGTCTCTTGTGCTAGGTCGCGTTTTTCCCTTACCACCTCGTTCGAGGCTGCTGTCTCCGACCTCGCCTTCTCCATAACCAACATTTATGCTCCCGCTGATCACTCTCTTACCGGGGAGTTTGTGGCCGACATGCACGGCCTCTTACCGGGAAGTGTCGGGCTGTCCTGGAAGGAGATGAGAACACCGGCTACTTCCACGCCCGCGCATCCCAGTGACGTCGCGGGAATGCCATCCGGGTGCTCGCCGTCGACGGTAGCGAGCTCGTCGACCACAACGCCAAGGAGGTGGCGCTGCGGCGGTTCTACTCCAACCTACTGGGCCGCACCCCCGCCACCTCCTGGGGGTTCGACTTGGTGTCGTTGTACGCCTCTGCGCCCTCTGTCGACGGGGCGCCGCTGGTGGCGCCGTTCACCCGAGCGGAGATCGGGGATGCTGTCTTTGCGCTGGACCGGACTAGCGCTCCCGGCCCGGACGGGCTCGACCCGGTCTTCTACTAGACTGCCTGGGCGGTGGTCGCGGATGACTTGCAGCGCCTCTTCGACAATGTGCACTCCGGCTGCGCGCGCCTCGACGGGATCAACAGGGCCCTCATCGCCCTATTGCCGAAGAAGGAGGGGGTGCCGTCCCCGGGGGATTTCCGTCCCGTCTCCCTTCAGAATGGGGACGTGAAAATCCTCTATAAGGGTTTGACGACGCGGCTTCAGCGGCAGATCGGCGGCCTCATCAACGAAGACCAGTCCGGCTTCTTGTCCGGGCCTAGCATCTCGGAGAACTTTGTCTACGCGACGGAGATCGTGTAATGCTACCACAAGCGAGGAGTGCCCACGTTGGTGTTCAAGCTCGACTTCGCCAAAGCCTTCGACTCTATTGCATGGCCCAGCCTTCGCCGCGTCATGGAGGTGCGGGGGTTCCAGCCCGCTTGGTGCGATTGGATGGATCTCATCCTTCAATCCTCTAAGGCGGCGGTGCTGCTAAGTGGGATCCCGGGGCGCTGGTTCGCGGTCCGCAAGGGGCTTCGGCAGGGCGACCCAATCTCCCCCTACCTATTGCTCCCGGTCGCCGACGTGCTGCAACGCATGATCCGGTCGGATCGAGCCCTTCGCCACCCCTTATGCGAGGGGGCTCCGGCGGTGGTGCTCCAGTATGCTGATGATACACTGATCATCATGCGAGCTACGACGGGGGGCGCGGCTAGGCTGCGCGTCATCCTCGACCTGTTCGCCGCTGCCACGGGGCTCGTCATCAACTTCGCCAAAAGCACCCTCGTCCCCATGCATGTGGATCCGGAGGTGATCGCGGCAGTGGTGGTGACGTTCGGTGCAGCGTTGGCGCCTTCCCGCAGACCTACTTGGGGCTGCCGCTCTCATGCGACAAGCTCAAGATCGACGACTTTGCACCGATGCTAGCTAAGGTGGACCGATACCTGGCGGGGTGGCGTGCCCGGCTTCTGTCCCCCGCGGGGCGTCTGGTGCTCATCAACGCGGTCTTGGACTCCCTCCCTACCTATGCCATGGCGTCCATGCGGCTTCCGTCCCATGGTCCTGGCCAAGCTTGATGGGTTGCGGCGTGCGTTCCTGTGGAACATCGCGGCGCGGGCCTCCGGTGCTCAGTGCCTGGTTGCCTGGGACCGGGTCTGCCGTGCCAAGGCCGAAGGGGGGCTCGGCTTTCGAGCCCTAGGGATTCAGAACAACTGCCTCCTCCTCAAGCTGCTTCATCGCCTTCACTCCGGCGCGCCGTCTCGGTGGGCTTCTTGGGTTTGGAGCCTGCTCGACGGGCGGTCTCTCCTGTGCCCCGGCCGCTCCCCGCTCCTGGGTGAGCACTGGGGGTCCTCCTAGGGCTGCTGCCCATCTACTGTGCTCTCACGCGTGTCGCTGTGGGGGACGAACGGGCGACATCATTTTGACACGACTATTGGCTCGCCTGCGGGGTGATCTGGGTCGCCTTTCCCGCCCTTTTCTCCCATGCTGCTGGCTCGAAAGTCTCGGTGTGGGAGGCGCGTGGTTGTGGCGTGCATGCCATGCTCGTGCCTCGGCTCACCCCCATGGCTGCAGACGAGTGCGCCACTGTCCAACGTCTGATGGATGAATGCCAGTTTGGGGAGGGGCCGGACTCCCGCTCCGCCAAGCTGTGTGCGAAAGCTGGCGGGGGTTTATCGTCTCGGGGCGCCTATGCCCTGGCGAATTTTGATGGAGTGGGCGCGGCTACGACGTCCTTCCTTTGGTCGTTCCGTGCTCCGTCGCGCGTCAAGTTCTTCGGTTGGCTCCTCTCTATGTCACGCATCCATACTATGGATGTCCTCCTCCGCAAACACATCCTCACGGCGGCGGAGGCTGGATGCCCCTGCTGCGAGGCCATGCTGGAGACGACCGACCACTTGATCTTTGGTTGCCCGTTCGCGGTGCAGTTTTGGCAACGGGTTGGCCTATCGCCGGATGGAGCGGCGGTGGAATCCCTCCACCTCTTCGACACTTCCCCCGCGGTCGGCGCCGCCTCGCCGGCCTCCTTTGTCCTGCTATGCTGCTGGAGGCTCTGGAAGAGAAGGAACGCCGTCGTATTCAGGGATGACTCGTGGTCCCTGGCTGCTACTCTGAAGGCATGTCGGGACGATGCGGTGCTTTGGCGTGCCCGACTGATGGAGGGAGATCGCTCCCACGTAGATGTCTGGCTGTCTGTGCTTAGAAGCTCGTAAGAGCTCGCCCCCCGGGGGGATGTCGGGTGTCTCTCCTCCCCTTCTCATTCTCTCTGTAATCTGACTCTCAGGGGGTTGACCCCCTTTACGTAATATATTCAGGTGGTGGAGGGGCTCCCCCCCCCCGGTGAAATTTAAAAAAAATGTAGATGAAAAACATTAAATTGTATATTTGTATTTTAGTGCAAATAAAAAAGAATTAAATTGTTCTGCCACAATAAGATCACAAAATATAATAAATTCCATTTTGATATGAATCAAACTCGTTCAGAGCCCTATGTGATTTCATAAGCAACATTGTCAACTTATTGTTCGTCAGATAAGAAGTTATGGCTCGAACTTTTGAAACTCAAATTATTGTGACATAATTATTTTTTTAAATGAAGTGGATGTTAAGTTTCACCAGTTTTTGATAAGGATGCACAACAACACTTTTCTAAGCCATTTCATTATTATTTCTCAATAATATGATAGTAATAGTGTGGTCATTATGTCTTACTAAAATAGTCTTCATTTTATTTGTGGAATATCCAAGACTTTCAACATCGAAGTCATGTGTCAAATTCAATTATTTTTGTTTAATTTCTAAATTTTTTTATGTATTTGTCATTTTCTTAAACAAATATTTATACTAAACTTTTATATTTATTTATAATCATTATTTTATCAAATCAAAGTTGTTGTTCATAACTTTTTTATAAGTTAATTTTGGTAATTAACTAGATGATAATATTACTAAATACTTTTTATCTTTAGGATATTATTTTAGTTTTTGTTGCTAAAAAATGTGAATTTGTTGTTCTAAATTTGGACCGTGTTTGCCATGATAGTTCAATTTGTTTTTCTTAGATACACTGTGCCTAGTTGGAATACTCAAAATCAGTCCCGATAAACATGAGAAATAAAGAAAACCAATAACTAGTGTAGCTTCGCAGATTATTTCCTGATAATCCCATGAACATAGTGTACATAGATGTGTGTGTATTTAAATATTTTGGTAGAGCTTTCTAAAGTGTATAGTCTCAGAAATATCCTCATAGCGGTTTCTAGTTTATGACTAGATATGTGCAAATAAAAGGGTTTAAACTTGATAAAACGTATTTCAAAAGTTTTTCACCAAATTATAAGCATGTTGCTATTTTTCCTTATTTTTTGGGCGGCTAACACGTCTCATATATATTGTATGTAGTATATAAGAATGTTTAGGTAGTATATATACTTCTTTTTAGATAGTATGTATCGTATTTTAAGTATGCTTTTTTTTCGTACAAATATGTATGTATTTCATAAATATAATAAAAATCATGGGTCAACTCGTAATTTTTTCATGTAACTTATTTTGATTTATCTTATGTATAGTATATGAATATACTTAGAATGATAAAGTAGTATATATAGTAATACATGGTAGTATATGAGATATGTGGGGTAACTCCCCCTAGGTGGCAGGATATATTTGATATTAAAATAGACTCACTCGAGCTAAGATTTTCTTCAATACAACATGTAGAGCATTCGAAATTTTGAGCTTTACTATATAAATAATGTGCTTTGGAATGAATGAAACAATATCTAAAGAGCAGTGGTGCGTGACCGATTGTCGTCGGCCACAGTGGCGTTGACTATGTTGAGACGACGTTGGTGACTAACAACTCCTGACCGAAGAAGGATGGAGAGATGAGAGGTTTGGTCGCGTTTTACATCCGATCCTTCACGATTGTCATCCTACCTAACCACTGGGATCTTCTTGGGCGTTTATTGCATGCGGCAGCGGATGGGGAAGAAAATATGTCACATCGTCTGCTCATTGATTGATAATAAGCGTGGTTGCCGCTGCCGGCGTAGGCAGTTAGGATGTCACACATAGTCATCATGGGGGGTCCACGTTTGTGTACATGGTCGATGAGCAATCAGCGCAGTGCCGTCGGAGCAGACTATAGAGTAGAGGGTGACGGGGTAGCTGTGTACAAGCCCTAGTGTAGAAACCCTTGTTGACTTGTTGTTGCTCACTTGCTTGTTTTGTTTACTATTTAGATAGAACGGTTAATTCCGTTACACGTAGACAAATCAGTTGACAGACTTGGAAACATGAAATAAACAATCGCTGAAGTTACTCCCCTGTCCGGGATTATAGGGCCGACAAGCCAAGAAGCAACTCCCTTTTCATTATGAGGTCGCTTGAAAAAATCTCTTTTTAAATGGACCTATTTAATTGCATGCAAAATTAAAGTATTTACTAATTAATCGCTTTATGGCTTGGTTTCAAATAGATTCTGGGAAAAATGCCTCTAATTAATTGTCTGACTAATTGATTAAGACGCTTGGTTTTCCAATTGTTTTATCATAAATGACTGCAGGAGTTTGTTTACTAGATTCGTACGTTTGGGTCCTGAAATTCATCTCCTTGGGTCCTCCCCTCATGCCTTGCAGTTAGGCTGGTCATAATGATGAGTGTCATATACTACTATTATGCATATGATATTAGTTTATGATATTACATCCATAGTGCATACTTCCTCTGTTTTGAATTACTTGTCCAAAAAATGAATGTATCTAAATTTATTTTAGTTATAGATACATCCACTTTTGTGACAAGTAATTCCGAACGGAGGGAGTAGTAACATAGATTAGTATCATATGTGGTCTCATTTATTGTCATGCATGACACATAGTAGCATAACATTTATTATGTTACGATATCTACCTATGTTACTATAACCATCTCTCTCTTCTTTAATTGACTGCTACATTCGCATGGTTGTGAGTACTACTTATGTTACCCCACTATAGCCAGCCTTAAAGAATGGAACAGCCCACGAGCTGCTAGCATTGCTGCGTTAAATTACTGACCATGGCCCTGAACCGGATACGCATGTGCAAATCTGCAGAAGATACTATCACCCAAGAGAATATTTTCCTCATGATTATGTATGTGGTGCTAAGAACTCCTCCATGGGTGACGACTCCACCCAGATTCCAAAATTCAATCCCCTCTGGCGACCAGCATCCATAGCAGCAGCAAGAGGTGGAAGATGTGTATCCTATCCACGGGTCCAAGTTGCCCAGTTTTAGTTTTGTTGCTACCGACCGTGTGTATTTTGTTGCAATGCGAGGACATCGACGACACAGGTAGGATGCTCCGTTGGACGAAATGTGCATCCTGGGTTTTAACAGGACAAGACATCCTACTGTCTCTTATGTACTATCTGAACTGAATGAATGGTCGATTTTTTACATGAACATACCCTAAACGTACTCCCTCGGGTCTTTTTAGTCCACATGTAAGTTTTCTCCGAAGTCAAAATATCTTTACCGTAACCAAACTAATAAAAAATAGTAACATGCACAATGTCAAATCAATATTGTTTGATTCATTATGAAATATACTTTCATAGTATATATATTTGGTATTGTAGATGGTAGTATTCTTTACTATAAATTTGGTCAAACATTGTAAAGTTTGACTTTAACATAAATCGAATACGTGAAGTAAAAAAGGCCAGAGGGAGTACACAGTATTCATCCGCAAGAAATGGATACCGGAGATGCCATCTCAACGTGTATCTCAGATGTCCAGTCACATTTCAAATGGAATTTCAACAAACGAAACGATTTTCATCCAAACCAGATATTTTTTGTTTAAACCGATCCACATTCATAACAATTTTAACATATTTCATTAAATAAAAACTGCCATGACAATTTTATTTAGCATAGTAGAAGTTAGAGTTAAATACGTTGGAGGTGCCTCAACTTGTCTTGCACGGTCAGTTTAGTGCCTAAAGTTGCAAAATACATGAAACTGATGCCCGAACTTGTTCGGATATGCAAATACGGTGCCTCCATCTGTTTTCTCTCCTCTCTATTTTCTTCCCCTAGCTCGAGCTCATCCTCCATTGTTGCCAAGATTTGTCAAGATTTGAAGCACCCCATCTATCCAAGTGTTTAAAAGGAAAAATAAACCATAAACCCATAAACCTTTAGTCACGGTTGGTGGCACCAACCGGGACTAAAGGTCCCCAGCCCCCGGCACGCGCTGCCGCCACATGGAAGGGATTTAGTCCCAGGTCATGGCCAACCGGGACTAAAGGGTGGGGCCTTTAGTCCCGATTCATCTGCCCCAGTTGGTGACCCGGGACTAAAGGCCCTTCCCAACCGGGACTGAAGGCCGTTCCTCATTATTTTTATTCTTCACACTATTATTTACGTTCAAGAAAAAAATGTAAGAAAAAATACGACTGCCATAAACTTAAAGAAAGTATTAGTGCTTTTGAAAAATGTTTAGCATGTATTAAAAAAATTAAAACGTGCATTTAAAAAATGTTTGTCTCGCATTACAAAATTGGCAATGTGTATTTAAAAAGAGTTCAACGATGTATTAAAATTATTCTGTAACATTTTTGAATAATTGTACTATTTCAATCCCCATAAATTTAAAAAAAGTTAATGTCTACCTCTTCAAAGTACGCAATAACGAAAATAAAAAATTATTTAAAATAAAAAATTATTGCATATTGTATTTTTTATATTGGAAAATTTACTTCTCGTGAAACTAAACAAGAACTTGGATAAAAATAAAAATGAAACTGATAGATAATGCATTAGGAAAATTAAAGAGCGATACGTGCGTCTACATATAGCTTTGTAGCTAAGAGGTGAACACAATACATATTTTGGCCAAGTGGACAAATCAGCCGTAGTTGACCACGAGGTTTTAAACCCCTTCATGATGACTTTTTTCAAGTTATTTCTTGCTAGCATACACTATATTTCACGTCTTTCTAAAATATAAGGTGGTTTTCGTTAAAAAAATCCTCATCCGCGGAGTACCCAACACTTCTCCGCTCTCAGCCACTTACAGGTGGGTCACCGCCATGCTGGCACGCCACGCAGATTGGACGTACATTTGGATACGGAAGGAGGCACCGTATTTGCACGATCGGACAAGTTCAAGCACTAGTTTCATGTATTTTGTAACTTTAGGCACCAAACTGACCGCC